TGGGCCCTCAGTTGATTGGCAGGTACCTGCAGAATGCATGTGTGGCTTGGCTGGTGTCACCCTGTGTCACAGATGAGAAACTCAAAAGTCCAGAGACCTACAGTGTCTCTACTCAGCTCCATAGAGTCAGGATCTCTACTCTAGTATACCCAAGGACATCTTCTTTGCATAGCTTTTATTTTCTGTAAAATGATACTATTTTACAAAAATTACTTTTTCCAAAACAATCTATCTGTATTTATATCCATTCTAGAAAATCAAAAAAAAAAAAAATGCAAAAGAGTGCATCAAACGTGATTTTTCTAAATGAGACCAAACAGACTGCTGTTAGGTATAAAGGTAGCTGTAGGCTACTCAGCTGGAATCTGGTCACCTTCTCTTCAGGCAGTGAGAGACAATGGATGTGAAAAGTCCTCAGAGGGACTCTAAAGCAACAATGCAACATCTCTGTGACTTTAGAATTTTAATTTCTTTAGAAAAGATTTGTGAGCACTTGAAATATTTTGATTCAGCTTTAAATCAACAGATTGTTGGCATACTTGTTCAGGCAATGTAAATGAACAGGTGGTTGTACATGTTGTCTGTGTGGTGAGGGAACCTGTATCAGGTGTAGCCACAGAGCAGGTGCAGCATGCCCTGTCTCTCCTGCAACTCTAGGAGGTGACTTCCCCACCCTGCGCCTGGGCACAGTACTCTCTCCCGCCTGCCCTCCTTGCTGAGGACACTCCCTGGATTCCCTTAGACTACAAACTGACTTCTCCACGCAGTGGTCCCCTCCATATTTGCAAGAAGCTGTGGGAGTTGCTCAAAGTCCAGCTAATCAGTTTGAAAACTGCATTCAGACTGGATCTAAGAGAATTTCTTAATAAGAAGTGAGTTGGATAAAGGTGAAAGACTAAGACAGGGCAGGCGGAGAATTCCTATTCAAACCTCTCTTCTCTTGGTTTTTGTGCAGAGTTTTGGGGCTCTTCTGCTTTGCTCAATCCTTGCACCCAGGGCTGGGTGTTCACCGAGGGACACACTCCTCTGCAAATGGCTCTGAGAACAAAGTGCTAGTGTCCCACTATTTTTACAGTGTCATCAGCCAAAGCCAAGAGATGTCAATTCATAAGGAGATTCTGAGCCAGTTGTCAGTCAGTCAGCTTTATTTACAGTGTGTCCTGTAAATAAAGCCAGAGTGGGAGGGACAGCATGTTTACCTTGTTTACCATGTTTACCTTGGAGCACCAAGACAAAAGCCAGGCTACCCAGAATGCCATCTGGGGCAGTGGAGATGATAAAACCTCAGTCCTGACTGTTCCTAAACTCCTTCCTTCAAGTTTGCTTTCTTCTTTATAAAATGAATATATAAAAAGTGACATCAGAGCTGAAGAAGGGTAACTGGCGAAGCATTCCTTCCCCATCTAAGTCTGAAAAAGAAGAATTCCATACCACTGACAAGAGTATGCCTCTTAAGCAGCACTATTCTTAAAAGCAATTAGTTTCTCAAGCAGTGAAGAAAAGAAAATTGCACATTGAAGGGTTGACCTTCTGCTGCATCGAATCAGTCAGGAGATTCCCTTTCTCACAATTGCAGACCTGAGCAGAAAGCTGCCTTCAGGTTCCTAAGCTTGCCCTCCCTACCATGGTGTCTGCTCAGGTCTGCAGTTGTGTAACAGATTATTAAGTTGTTATTAATGCCTAAAATCACAGACCAAGGACGTGACTGAACTTGACTGACTCTGCAGGGTGTTGTGATCCACGTTCTTGCATCCAGCCCCAGGCTTGTCCATATGTCCTCTAGATGAGTTGAATATATCCTAGGAAATTAAATGCCCCAGGTAGAGATCTCCCCACTAAGCATGAGTTACTATCTCGGGAGAACCTCTGCACCCACCCTATCTGAGATCCTTGGGCTCTAGGGAACTGCTGGCCCTCTTGACCTGTCCCCACCCTGTGCTCCAGATCGCTGCACCAAAGGCAGTTAACACTGCCCAGGTGGTGACTGAAGGGCAGTTGGCATGGCCTATATGGCTTTTAGAACTCGTGGCAGTCGCTGCTGGTTCATTAACAATCTCTTTCATGCCTTCCTTAGTGTTGCTTACATCTGTGGCTCTAGACATGCTCCTCATTCCTCTTTGCTGGTATATGCAATGACTTGAGCTTGGTTTTCTTTCTTGGGGTTTGTTTCATTTGTGGTCAGCAGACTCTAGTGAGTGTGAGGTGGCAACTGCGAGTGCTGTCCGGTGTGGGATATGAAGTCCTTTCACTAGCATGCACTTCCCTTTGTATCTGTGTCTGCCCAGTGCTGTAGCAGTGCCCACTCTCACACCCCACCCCCACCTTGCAAGCCCTGCCAGCGACTGGCTCTGGGAATCCGACAGTGGTGGACATGGCCTTATGACAAGGCACATCATAGCTTTTAATACTCAGACTATATATAGCTCTTTGGGGGGATGACCATGGGGCAACAGAAACATGAGCAAGTTTAAAGAAAAAATATGGTAGGGCTGAAAATATTTTAAAAACTGGTGCCACAGCTGGTTTGGGGCTGGAAAAGAGACATATGAACTTGGCAAGATGTGAAATGCCAAATGAACATAAGTTTGTTAGAGAAGGTAATTGTAAATGCAGATAAACTCATCTAGAAACTTTAGGAAAGCAGGAACTCTGGGAGCATACTGATTTGGGTAGTTGAAATATAAAACAATGGTGGGTGATCAATTAGCATATTTATAAGGAATTGCATGAATTTGTTGTATATTTTATAAATTAACTTGTAATGATGCATTTGTTTTTAAAAGTTTTTTTTTTTTTTAAGATTGATTTATTTATGCATATAAGAACTAGGGTATAGGTCAGAGGTCTGGAGGTTAAGAGGATTCACCAGAGACAGAGTAGGGAGCGGAACAGGCAGATCAACTGAAATACACTGCTGAGGGGAGCAGTGGGTGGGTCAGGAGAGGTCAGCTGCACCATGTGGGTCAGCTCCCTGGCTTGGGTTGAACTCTTGCTACAGTGACTTCAGATAGCTTCACAGTGCTGTGCTTTAACCCTTTATGCCACCAGAAGGGCCCTAAAAGTTTTGGGTGTTTTTTTTTCTGAGACAAGTTTTTTTGTCTAATTTTTTTTTTAAAGATTTATTTATTTGTGCATACAGAACTGGGGTACAGGCCAGAGGCTCAGGGGCGGTGAGAGGCTTCACCAGAGACAGAGTGGGGAACAGAACAGGCAGATCAACGAAGTACACTGCTGAGGGGAGCAGTGGGCGGGCAGGCCAGGAGAGGTCTGCCATGCCATGTGGTCTCCTCCGGGGCAGGCGGGAATCGAACTCATGCGGAAGCGGCTTTAGATTCTCAGTGCTGTGCTTTAACCTGCTGCACCACCAGGGAGGGCCTTTTTGTCTAATTTTATATAGTTGGTCCTGTCAGCTATACTATAATATTTTCTTGGTTTTGTAGTAGTGTTTCTATTCATTAAGTGAGATGTACTATACCTTCTGGGAAAGAGGTGGAGTTTCTTTTTTTAAAAAATATGCAGGTCCTTAGAGACTTACCCAGTCCGTGGGTGTGCTGGGAGTTCTCTGGGTTGGGGGAGCTGTACCTGAGAGGTAGAAGGCAGGTATCATGGCCCTGCTCCCTGCCCCTTCCTTGCCAGACCTCTCTCAGGGGGAATATACCCAGACTGAGCAAAGGGAACAAGAACTGGGCATGAGATCCCGAGGGACAGGACCAGCTGAAATTCATGGCCATGGATGCTCCCACTCCAGAGTTGCCGCTGAGGGCTTCAGTTGCAGGAACAAAGATTTCTAAGAGACTTGGCAGCCAGGCAGAATTCAAAGGACACACACTCCGGCTGCGAGTCCCAAGTGTGACTTCACTGTCATGGGAAAACTTCAAGTGGGGTTTCTCTCATGTGTTGGTCTGCGAGCCATGATGTTGTTGTTTTGTCATCGCCTCTACCTTGGGCAGGTGCTCACACCGAAGTGGGGAGCAAATGGGGGGGAGGGGGTGATTGCATCAGGTCCAGGGAGGGGCCTGATTGGTGACCAACTGCACTACCTAGAGGACCTGTGAGGCAGCTCACAGCTCTTTCAGACTGCCTGGAGACTGCCGGTCTGCCAGGGCCCTGTCCACAAGGGCTCTAGCCGTGGGTCAGTACGCGAGGGGGCCTGCCAGGAACGTGGGGAGAGGCCAAGGATAAACCTCCTTTTAAGAGGCACTCTCCATTTAAAATGCCCTCATGTTCTTCTGATTGCTTTTTCCATGCTGTTGAGGTAAGATTTTTAAAAAGCATCTGTGTTCCCTTAAAGGTTATCTCTATTTTGTGATTGCAACAGAGTCATAGATTTATAATCTGCATTTCTACTTCACTGTACCTTTGTTGGGAGCTGTTTATTTTTTAGGGTTTGAATAGTACTAGGAACATATAACTTGCTTGTAATTTTGGAGGGCCCAAAGAATTTGTGATGATGTTCTCACTCTCCCCTTCTTCATGTTAATTTAAATATTAGAATATTCACATGAATATTTCTCAACTTTTTCTTAAGCCTAAGTGTATACGAAGTATGTAGGTGGGTGGGATAAGAAAGTCAGTGGATGCTGGCATTGAACCTTGCACCCCTGGAATGGAGAGCAAATGGAATTGTAAAGGCTCTATCTTTTATTTTTGTACTGGTTCACTTATAAAATGCCCCATGCAAAACTGGACTATCAGTAGTGTTTTCAATGAATTATGTTGATTCTAACAACTGGCTGTTGAGAAGCAGCCATGTGTACATTCTGGTCTGTCCCTGTGCTTTTCCCTGAGGTGTTTGGGTCATTTTAGACTCCCTGTTGTGGTCATGCATCCTTGCCCCACGAAGAGGGGGGTGTCGATGGGTCAGCCGTTTGCCTTACTCCTGCTCAGAGGAACAGTTACATATGTATCAGAGCACTGCTTTTTTATCTTTCTGTTTCATTCTGTTTTTATTTCTTAAAAGACCCAGAAGTCATTCATCTGATCCTCTTTATGTGTTACAGGATGTTAAAGTCTTCAGTGAAGACGGGACAAGCAAAGTTGTGGAAATCCTAGCAGACATGACAGCCAGGGACCTGTGCCAGTTGCTTGTGTACAGAAGTCACTGTGTGGATGACAACAGCTGGACACTGGTGGAGCACCACCCGCATCTGGGACTAGGTAGGGGACCCAGCTGGGGTTGCTTGGCATGTAGTCAGATGAAACCCACTGCTGCCAAATGTCAAATGTGTGATCTGTGTGTCCCCTGCCACTGTCACTATGCTGAGCAGGCCCTCTCTGTACGTCTACCATTTGCCTGCCTGCCCTCTTTCCACCAAAACATCACTGTCCTCCCTCCCAACCTTCTCTGACTGGTGCATTTGGAATCTTGCTCTTGGATGGTGAAGCCTGTGACTTGGCTGGGAAACCGGGCAATGAGGGTCCTGCTTCCCATGGTCAGGGAGGGGAGCCTGGCAGTGCCTAGGGAGGGCCTGCCACTTTCAGGACTGTGGCCTCACTCTGGAGGGGGCAGTTCAGCCAGCTGACAGCAATGAGGGAGCCTGTGACGGGCTGCAGGAGAGCCAGAGAGGCCACTGGGGGTGGATGTGCACCATAAAGCAGCTTCATCTAAGTTTGAATCTTAACGTAGTATCACAGTGTTCTTGTTATGCACTAGGGTGGATCATACTTTACATAAAATCAATGAAAAGATCAGCCACCAGGGAGCAATGAAATGGCAAAAGACAAAAATCATTTGGGTCAAATTTTGGATCCTGTTTGACACATAACTAGATTTTCAGCTACACGAAAGGGCCTTAGAAAGTTCTTTCTCACTTTTCTTCTACCCTCTTCCCACCTCCTCTAACTTTCTGGTTGTCAGCGAGTAGACACCGCTTCCTGGTAACTGGTTTTGTAGAGGCTCTTTGAGGATTTCAGAACCACAAAGTCCTGCCATCCTATGAGGACAGTACCCAAGGAAACTTTCCATTGCTCATCAGGAGCTTCTTGCTCTTCTGTTCCTGTGTATTCCTTTGTTTGTGATCCTAACCTGTGATTGATTGATTTATTTTTTAAAATCAGTTCAGTTGCTGCTTAGATAGAAATCTTATTTCTTTGATTTTCCCCAGGATTTGGTTGTCAGATACCTCCTGGTGTGGAAACTGACAGTGCAGACCTGTTGTGTTCCCACACATGGGTAGGCAGTGTGGAAGCTCCTCTCAGGAGCCCTGGGTGGGGGTGCTAAGTGCCCTGGACCAAGATGTGAGCACATCTGACTCTTTTGCAGTTCTTTGGATTGGGTAATGTTCCTGGGGCCTAGCACACACAGAGGCCACCTGGACCATTTCCCCATCTCCTTTTAGAAAGTCATTTTCTCTTGTATCCTGTGTTGGGGATGCTTCTGGGCCTTCCATGTGTGCAGGGCTGTGGCTTGGGTAAAGGGCAGAAGGTACTTATAGATCAAAGCCTAACGCACATAGTTGCCTGAGCTCCCAATAACTGAGGGCATAAGTAAACCAATTCATACAGCATTCTTCGTCTGCTTAGTTTCAGAAATTGAGAATTTCTAAGCACATTTATTATATTGATCGTTGCAGCCAAAATATTCAGTTCTTTACAATATGAAGCCTTTTCCATATGCAGGAAGGAGTGATTTAGAAAAGATGCAGTTGTTCCCAAGAGCCATTAGGAGATGGTTTCCTTGCCACCAGGAGACCATGCAGTATGTGAGTGTCCAAAACCTCCAGCAGCTCTCTCTGGGTGTCAGTCCCCAGAGTAACAGGCACAGTGGCAGCCCATTCGCTTCTGGTGGGAATTTTCCTGCCCTCTCTCTGAACTGTGCTTGTTGCCAGAGCCAGGTCAAATGACCCTTCTTAATGCCCCATGTCAGCTGCTCAGTTCACTTGCCAGCAGTTGGTGCCAAGTCCTTGGTAGGCCAAGCCCTTAGTGATCAATGGCCAGTAAGCATGTTTGTGTTTTATGATTTCGAGGGTTCCTGCTCCAGAGTGTTCTGTGATCTCCTCCTGTGTTAGTGAGTCCCCAGAGTTCTGTCTGTTGGGGGTTTTCAGTCTCTGTATTTGGCATAGAGTTCTCAGATGGGAACACGATCCCCAAGCAATGCCACCCACTCGCTGCCATGTCCATCCAGTGGGGCAGGACTGGGTGGTCATTGTTGGAGGTATTGCCACTTGTCTACCCCAAGCTCATGATCTGCGAGTCTTTGAGAAACTTACTTCAGCCAGGACAACTTCCCACATGATAGATAAAGAGATGGCAAAAAGCCAGTCTGCAGCTGTATCTTGAAAACATAGTTTTTTTAAAGAATTTCAAGGAATAGGAAATGAGCCTGGCTTCAGGACAGATGAGAGAGAAGCGACTGGAATTGAAACATGCAGCCCATTGAAAAGAAATCACAGCTGTGTCCTATGAATTTTCAAGGATCTAAGAAATTCTGTTCCTATATGAATTAAGGAATGCCCGAGGGAGAAGGACAAAATGTTACTTGGGCTGTTAAGACTTGAATTTGTTCTTGGTCAGGTGATAAATTCAGCAGCATTGCCCATTAAAAAACTGGCTGGGGCCCTCCCTGGTGGCGCAGCGGGTTAAAGCACTAAAGCCACTTCCGCACGAGTTTGATCCCCGCCTGCCCCGGAGGAGACCACATGGTGCGGCAGACCTCTCCTGACCCGTCCGCTGCTCCCCTCAGCAGTGTACTTCGTCGATCTGCCTGTTCTGTTCCCCACTCTGTCTCTGGTGAAGTCTCTCACTGCCCCTGAGTCTCTGGCCTGTACCCCAGTTCTGTATGTACAAATAAATAAATCTTTAAAAAAAAAAATACTGGCTGGACATGGTTGGGCACTGGTAGCTAGACCCACAGACAAGTCCTAAAGGAACACCTGTGGTCTGCAGCCCTTGGTTCCCAGAGGGGCCTCCTAGGCCAGTTATCTCTCACCTCTATATGTCTGTTACATCAAAAAGGTATCAACACATTATCTTTGCCCCACTGGAATCTATAAATAGAAGAAAACCTCCTATTTTAAGTATCCAGGTGTCAAAGAAACTCCCTGAGGGCTTGTTATCTTGCCTATGAACTTGTTCACAGTTTCTCACAGTCCAGAAAGCCCTAGACTGCCAGCTCAGCATTCCACGCTCAGTGCACAGTGCTGGGTGACAAAGGGCTGGTGTGGGCAGGACCAGCCAGGTAGGATGTCACTGCCCCCTCACCAGTCTGTGCCACTTGGCTTGCTGCTAAGGAGGTGTGTGTTTGTTGCATGTATTAACACAGAAATAAGATTTGCTATTTTAAGTTGTGTGGTTTTAAATATGGTGATTGTATAAATCCTTGGACTTTAAACAATTACAAAAATGTGAAAAATACACATGGTCTTCAGAAGTCTCTGCCTCTTCCATTTGTACTGAAAGTCTTTCAGAACCCTGCAATGAAATCTTGGGTTCCAATTTTATATGAGGCCATTGTGATCATATGTTTATAGGTGGTAATGTGATTGCTTAATATTATCAACCAGAGTCATTTGAAAATGTATCTTTTGTATCATAGAGAACTGGAACAAAGGGTTTTGAACTAATGGTATCTGGTGCCTTTCTGCCAGCTCTGAAAACTGCTACAGGCTGGGAACACACACAGTTTCTGATCTCAAAAAGGGCCTTGGACAGTCTTCTGGACCCACAGCTGCTCGCTGTTTTCTAACTCTGAGTGTGGAAAAGGGACTTGGAAACAGCTCTTGTTATCTGCGCCTGTAGGTGTCCTGGGCCTTCCTGGTGTCACCAGTGCAAGCAGAGACGCGCTCCTGTCAGAGTGCACAGCTTCCTTGTTCCCCTGCCCTTCCACCTGGCAGCTGCAGACGGCTGAAGCAGGCAGCTTCCATGTCTGTTTACACTGCTGAGTGCAACTTCCGGGATCTCACCAAAGGCTCAGGGAACAGGAAGAGTCATGGGTGGGGCGCCATGCCTGCATGTAGTTGGTCACTGGACCTTGAGGGCCAGTGGTTCCCCTCAGTGCTCTTGGTCTCTCCTCAGTACTTTTTTAGACACAAAATACTACCTCATCCTCACTGAGAATGCTGCCACCTTTCTTCTTTTATATCTGTCTTTACCTGGTAAATTTTTTTTAATTCTGTAAACTCATAGGTTATTGAGTTACTGGTTTTCTTGCTATATTACAGAAATATTTTCTCTGAACAAAAATAAAGCAAGCCATACCACTAATCACAGGCTCAGGCTATATGTGTTTTTCTCTCTTGCTGTGGTAAGAAGTGTTTTGGTTCATGTGTTGCTAGCAGATAACCCACCACTAGGGACAAATGGGCCTGTGAGTAGCATAGGCAGTATTAAGGCTGAATGTGAACTTTCTGGTAGTTATGGGAAGGAAATTCCTTTCTTGGAAATTTAGCTTTAAATTTATTTTTGCCAACATACCCTCTTAGGTAATAACCAAGCTGGATGTGCTCTGCATGCTGTGTGTCCCCGGATACCAAAGGGGTGGTATCCTTCATCGGTGGGAATGTTCCTGATGCTCAGATGACGTTGACTCTGAAACATGAAACATTCGCACTACACTTGATCACTTCCTTCAATGCAGGACTTCTCTAGATTCTGCTGTGGGCACACAAATTCTGCTGTGGGCGCACAAAAGCAGTGTTTAGACAACGCGTTTAGTTCCCTCTTTTCTGTCAGTTTTGTAGCTTCTGATTCTCTAGCATTTTGGCATCGGTTCATCCACTGATGTTAGGGTGGGTCTACTCACATTACTGGTTCCATTGTTTCATACAGTTAGTTCTCTCTTGACCCTCTCAACTCTCAAGTCAGTGTGGGAGGAGATGTGTGGGAGAAAGTGTAGTGCCCTTGGAGTAAAATGGTACTGAGAACAAGTCCAGGTCTCACTGCTCCTGGTGGGGCCAGAGCTTCACTGGGTGAGAGAAACATCTCTCCAGGACCATGCCAATGCACTGGGGGCAGTGAGCAACTGCGTTTCTCTCTGCCCTAACAATCTCATCTAGTCGTTTTGAGATCGGGTAGTGTGGGCTTCAGCCTTAAAGATGAGTGTGTTTGGACAGACTGATTGTGTAGTGATCCTTTACCAAATTCTGCCCCTTGATAGCATTCAAGCAGCTGAGTTCCACAGAAACAGAAGCATTGTTGCCCTCTGCTGCCACTTTCTCCCCCGCGCACCACCCAGTAGGTCCTCCTTACTCAGTGCCCTCCTTCCGCTCTTTGTTTAGGTGTTTCCCAGTTGGAGTAGTCTGTGCTCTTCCTCAACAGAGTCATTTGCTCAGAGGCTTTATGTGACCCTCAATTTTTTGTTGATAGCAAATTGAAAAGAAGTACTTAAAAGTAAGGATTGGCCCTTCTACCTATCTCTTTTAAGTATTGGGCAGTTCATATTTTGTTTATTTCCCTATTTCCGTTCTCTTCAGTGTGTAAAGAACAGAAAGTTGAGCCAGGTGTTGTAACTGATTGTATAGCTACCTTGAAAGAGTCTCCTGTTTTTCTCACACATGCTACATTTCCACAGAAAGGTGCTTGGAAGACCATGAATTAGTGGCGCAGGTGGAAAGTACCATGGCAAGTGAAAGTAAATTTCTATTCCGGAAGAATTATGCCAAATATGAATTTTTCAAAAATCCTATGGTAAGTCTAATCTCTGGTGGTTTGGGGTGTAGAACTCTTGAAATCTTTCAGTTTATTCTTGGGTTTGACAGTAGCAGTTAAGTAATAGATTTAAGGGTATGAGAATCTGAGTTGTTCTTTAACACAGCAACCCTTGCTCAAAACTCAGTCGCTGATGTGTAACTAAATGCTGTGCACTGCTGGTACTGAGAAAATGATGCAACCCCAAGTGACAAGAGCAAGGAGAAGCCAGGTTTTTTTTAAATTATTTTGAAAGCTCTTGATTAAACTGGAGCTACTTGGCCCTCCCTGGTGGTGCAGTGGGTTAGGATGCAGCACTGCAAGCTAGCCACGGAAGCTTCAGTGCGAGTTCGATCCCCAGCCCTGGAGGTGATTGACACGGCGCAGCAGACTCTCCTGACTCACCCGTTTCTCCCCTTGGCAGTGTACTTCATCAGTTGGCCTATTCTGCTCCCCACTCTGTCTCTGGTGAATCCTCTCACCGCCCCTGCACCTTTGGCTTGTATCCCAGTTTTGTAAGTCTCAATTAATAAATAAATCTTTAAGACAAAAAAAAACTGGAACTACTTGGTCAATGGCTCAATTGAACAAAAAATTACAGTAGCTGTTATTATGATTATTTATGGAAGAATGAGTAGGATTAGGGGTTTGTATATTAGCACAGAGAGCTTCATATCTGTGCTCCTTTCTCTAATCATGCAGTAGCTATGCTAATAGGGAGACAAGAGCCATTGCCAGCTTCTGGCTCTGATAATTTAGCTGCCTCTTTATTTGACAGTAAGAAATTCGGTAACAGTACTGGATAATCCACCAGAAAGCTGTTTCACATCACTATGCTCACCTTTTAATTTCAGGGACTTATCTCCAGCCAGGTACCCCTATCACAGCTGAGGGGCCATCTTCACCTTGGTGTGCACTTGTTGCATGGATCCACATTAAATATAATAAATACTCCAAATATGAACTAAACATTTCAGGAACTTAATATAACCATTTGGAGTGGGTATCTCCACTGTGTGATAAGAGGAATAAAAAGTACCATTGTTTTAATACAAATGTAAATAATCAGACCTTAGGAATGTTTTTGGTGGTGGCACACACTATAAACATACCTTTTTCCTATTTTGAAGCTAACTTTGAACATTTGTTTCTGTTTCCATAGAATTTCTTTCCAGAACAGATGGTGACATGGTGCCAACAGTCCAATGGTAGTCAAACCCAGCTTTTACAGGTACGGGTCAGAGATCAACTGCTGTGAAAGTGTTCGGATAGTACATTGCAGTGGTTGCTCTTTTAGCACGTAGTAGCCTTGGTTTCTAATGGGGCTAAGGCTAACCAGAAATAAGTGCTTACTTGGGACATCAGTGTGCAGTCAGGCTCTTTTAAGATGAAACTAGAGCTTACGGGCGGGACAAACACGCCCTGACACCAGGGTAGCTGCATCCCTGCCATCTGGGCGTGGCGGGCATGGTGGAGAAGTTGCTCTGCAGGGTTCCCACCCATGCCAGGCATGGGCCCACTGCTGCTGGGAAGTCTCTTTGGAAATAATGAGTCCAGTTCATACTAGAAAACAGTTGCAGTAAAACCCTTCTTAAAGAAACCTTATTGTATATTGAAAACAAGGACATTTGTCTTAGTGGACCTGCTCCCTAAAGTATATTCTAAGCCCATTTTCTATGGAGAGTTGGGAATAGAAATGGTCTCTTACTGTTGAACCCCTCAAAACATGTATTTACAACAACTTAAGTGAGAGAACAAGTATTTACCACTTTCCAGGTGGCAAACTAAACTACTAAGTTTAGTTCCTACAGGAATCTGCTCTTAGCCCTGTCGGTCTGCAGATCACGAGGTTTGTCTCTCCCTCCTAAAAGACGGACCCTTCAGAGCTCTATGCTGCCATGTTCTTCCCGCGCCTCCAGACTGCAACATCTAGCTGTCCTGGCAGGAGTTCTGGCAAGAGTTGTTAACATTTAGTTATTGTGTCTGTACACAGTGACATCAGAGCCACTAATTGCTTTTTAATTGCCTGCTTGAGGTTGGATGTGAGAACAGTGCAGTGACCTCTGGGCCTCCAGAAAGCCAGCCAGGTGCATCACACCTCTGCCCCGCCCCCAGGGAAAGCTGTCCCCTTTTAGTCCCGTAGCGAGGACCCACCGACATCACCACCCTGGCCTTGTGCCTGACCTTACTCTTGGCCGCTTTCCCATGGGAAGATGTGCCTGCGGGTGCCGTGAGCTGGGACAGTGACTGCCTCCCGGCGGCCGAGAGACACCATGTGCTCAGACGCCGCTGCACCCCTTCCAGTTGGAGGACACATGGGTGACGTGACAGCTGACTGCTGGCTCAGTCCTCATATCTTAAGTTGCCCCTGGCACTTCTGCTGTCCTAATTCTGATGATCAGCCCGGTTTATTATATGTGAAGATAGAGTAAAGGGCAGCATCCTTAAAAATACTGTCTGTATAAGTATTCATGAATGTGTTTCTTGACAGTGTTAAAAAGGTCCATTTGTGTGTATTTAAATACTATGTACTAGGCAGCATCACTTTTGATGGGATAACAGACTGTTGAAAGAGAACAAATCAATTGAGAACTCTCCATTTGACAAAAGAATATTTTAGTAATTCAAAAAATATCAAAATATTAGCAGTGTTGAATTATGTGTTTTAATTATTGTTACCTTTATCTGACTTAAAACTTCATCTTCAACAGAATTTTCTAAACTCCAGTAGTTGTCCTGAAATTCAAGGGGTTTTGCATGTAAAAGAGCTAGGAAGGAAGTCATGGAAAAAGCTGTATGTGTGTTTGCGGAGATCTGGCCTTTACTGTTCCACCAAGGGAGCTTCAAAGGTGAGTTTCAGAGCACGCGACTGCCAGTCGCACAGGCTATGAGTGTTCAGAATGAGTTGGGCTTCATTTGAAAATATACCTTAGGTCCCTACATGTTTATGGTAACTTATTAAGTGAATCAAATAACAGCTACACTCATAGAGTGACTGGTCTGCTGCTCTAGCTCAGAAACCAGGTGTTCACCAAATCTAACAGCCTCCAGGCTGTACCCATTGGGCTTTGGCCCCCTCCTATACCCAGATTGCATCTCTCCTGCTCCTGTAAACTCTGTCCCTCCTTCACCTCTCCAGCAGTATCCTTCCTGCATCCCCAAGCTGACTATTTCGTGCCCCTACGAGGGTTAGGAGCAGAGCTCCTGGCTGCTCAGTCACTTGAAAGATGCTTAGTTGTCCTGATTCAGTGACTGGGATCCTGGCTGTTCCTAAAGGTGTTTAACAGTTTACTATACCCCTCATGCCAGTCTAATTTGTTTTGTTATAGACATTTCATGGAGTGAGTTACACTTGTATTTGCCCCTGGGGAAGAAGTGTAAGGGCTGTAAGGGCTGCCGGCCTCTAGAGAGAGTGGAGAGCAGTGCAGCCTCCCCTTGCTGGCGGCACTTTGGTGGGTTTGCATATTCTCACCTAATGTTTTCTTGTAATGTCCTCAGTAGGGGTGGTGCCAGCCTGCTTTTGTCTCACCTTTACTTTCTAGCTCTCAGGGTCTCTTCTGCTCTTGCTAGGAGAGGAGGGAAAATAGGGGGGACTCAGGTGAGGGTGTTGGGCATTGGACCGACTTAGTGATATGCTAGGGATTGAGCAGCTGCTGAAGATGTGGGCAGCCAGCCCCTCTCTCTGTGGGTGGAGGTCTTCCATCCAGTGCAGACCAGGATGGGCCTTTCACGGCTTAATTCTTGGTTAGTCACTGTTGTCACAGATGCTGAACCAAGGAACATTTGTAGCCTAAAGCAGGAATCAGAACAGGGTAGATATTGAGGACTCCTGGTTTTCATTTGAGTATTTGGTTTGGGAGCTTTGATTTGGCAGGAGTATCAAATACATCCTAGCATGCAAGTACATTCATCTGTGAGGCCTTCTAATAGCCCTATGTCTTAGAAGTGGAAGGTGGGCTTTTTGACAGGGCTGAGTGAATGTGGGCTTGTTCTATACACTGATTGTGTTTGAGATACCAGCACATACACTGACAGCATGCACAGCTGCCCTCTAAGCAGGGCATGAAGCAGTTTGCTCTCTGCTTTGTGTGAGTTCTCTAGTAAATCCTGCCCACCTGCCACAGGAGCCCCGGCACCTGCAGCTGCTTGCCGACCTGGATGACAGCAACATCTTCTCCCTGATTGCTGGCAAGAAGCAGTACGGTGCCCCCACAGACTTCGGCTTCTGCATAAAGGTACTCCATCTCCAGTCTCTCCTGAGGTGTCACCTGTTAACCCACTGGAAACTTTGGAATTGGGCAGTGACTTCCTCTTCTGGTTGTTGCTTTCTTGTTTTTGAAACAGAGACAGTTTCCCATTGGATGTTTTTACATTCATGTTATGCTTCATTCAGATTAGTTTTTTCATTTAAATTACTTCTCGTGTGCTTATGATGTGTGAGCTCGATGTGTTTGAGTAGCTCAGGAGCTCAGGGAAAGCAAAACAGATGAGGGACAGTGCCCACCAATGGGCTCACAAATGAGTGACCCCCAGTCTGAGCCTTCTGTGTGGCCTTTCCAGTCACTGGCAAAGTCAAGAGCAGTGGCCACAGCCCTGTCACCCTCTGCTCGTATGCGTGAGGCAATGCTCATGCTGACACAGGCACACACATGCACACGCCTACAGATATAAGCACCCATACACACACACACATCCTTCCCTTCCATGTGCCCCCATGAGCAGGGGTCTCCTTCTCTCCTGGTGACACTGTCCATTGCTGTTGGTCCTCGTAATAGTTAATACTATTAACTGATCACTCTCAGTTAATAGGAGATTCTCTCCTGAGACTTTTACCTTCAGTATCTTGTCAAGTCTTCCATATGCTCACAGGGTGGAAATGGAGACAGTCTTGGCTGCCAGTAGCCTGTGAGTGGCTCCTCTACTTGCTCTATCCAGAGAGGATGGAAAGCAGGCACACTCCATCTTAAAACCCACCTTATAACTAACTTAGTGAGGTGCCTTTGAAGGGCTGGTCATAGGAGCTCACCCCAAACCTTAAGGTCTGAGGTCATGCAAAAGCGTGGTGGGACTGCCATTGCAGGAGAGGCTGGAGGAGGGAGCCAGGCTCGTGCAGGCCAGGTAGCCAGCATCGCCTGACCCCCTTGGCCCACAATGGCTGTGGCCTTCTTTCTCAGGGCCAGTGGGCTCTGCTTCTGCCCTAGTCTTGACACATGAAAGACAGTCATTCGTGTCCTTGATCCCCTCTGGATTTCCAAGGTGTCTGTCCCTTGTGTCTGAATTTGAGATGTACTTGGCGAGCCAACTGTATAAGCTTGTGCCAGTTCTGCTTTCCACCAAACATTAAGCCAGGGTGTGAGCTGGGTCCCCACCTTGCCTACTAGTTCTGGCATCCCCTTTTCTGGGGTTATGTTGGTCTCACTGTGAAGCTTCCATACAGAGCCACTCAGACACTCCATAACCTGGGACTTCTGGGGCTTTTCCCCATCTGACCTCTTCAAACTGCCTCCGCCATCTTACTGGAAATCTTATCCTCATAAGGCAGAGGAACCCAGATTTCTTTCCACAGCCTTATGTGCTCGCCGTCCGGCTTCATCATGCCTGCCACCTTACCTTCATGGTTGTGTCTTGGAGCCCCCCAGTCAGAGGACAACTGTTCAACCACATAGCAGTACCTATATCATCGGAGCTTGTCTGTGCCAGCTGGATGGTGACAGACTGGTGTCAGAATGTGGCAGTTACACACATCTCTCTGGTGTCTGGTCCTCTGGTGTGTGCAAGCTGCAGCCTTCCTTAACCTGAGGCATACCTCTGATCCGCTCTGTGACACTAACTGGGCCTTCTCTTAACTCTTTCAGCCAAACAAAGTCAGGAGTGAAACTAAAGAGATGCGAATGCTCTGTGCAGAAGATGAGCAAGGCCGGATGTGCTGGGTGATGGCATTCAGACTCCTCAAGGTACCGTGCTCCTTCTGTGTGCTCAGTGCTTCCTATAAGGAACACCCATCACTTACTTTCCTTAACAGCCTTCTCTTAACCAGTCACTCACATGTCTTCTCAAATGGGGACCTAGGATCCCCTCCCAGAGTAAGTCCTTCACTTGAAAATGTCAGAGTCACTTCTACCTCAGCACCACTGACGTTGCGGCTGGTAAGAACTGGAAGTCTCTGGGCTCCCCAGTAGATGCCCAACAGATGTGACAACCAAAATTGTGCAGAGACATTACTGATGTGCCCTGGAATTGAAGTGGGGATTACCCCTGGTGGGAAACCGCTGGGTTAGAGGAACAAGAAAGAGACATTGATACCAGGGAGAAGGGGACGCCAGACAGTTTATGATGAGCACCATACTCCTGGCTTCTTGAAAAACCAGGGCCTTGAGAGAAACATGACTGATAGATTGCACAGCTCATGGGAGTATACTATCGTGGGCTTGGGGGGAGCAGAGTCTCCTGTGAGTTCTAAGCAAACTGTATTAAATGGAACCTGGTATGGGATATGCCCTTGACAGTGCTTTTAGAGAAATTGCCAAAGTGATTTCATGAAGCTCTTTAGTGAAAGCTGAGAGTATAATTTGATGCCCTACAAAATATTGTTTGCTCTTAATCGTGACCTCGTGTATAAAGTATATGTGAATTCTAAGTTCAATGATAAAGACAGTCTTGGCTAAAGTGAAGGAGTTGGGAGGGAAACTTGTTTGATCAGCTTTGGCTGATATGTTTCTGATATAGGATTCTCTATGAGAACCCTCAACTTAATTAAAGTTTTCAACTGGTCAGAGACTCGGGGTGGACTCATGTAAATGAAGGAACAAGCAGCAGGAAAGAGCCCGAGCTCAGCAGACTCCCTCGGAGACACCACCAAACTAAGACCCAAGGACAGGCATCCTATGCACCTCTGTCTCATATTTCTGCCACTGGTAAAGCAAGAAAGATTAAAACTAAGATTATGATTTCATATTAGAGAAAAAATGTTAATACTGGAATATGATATTGTAGATCATAGACTACTTTATAAGCTAGTGTTAAATCTAAATGTCCATCAATTGGGGACTGGTTAAATAAATGACAGAGAATTAGAAATATTCTGTAGGATATTAACAATTAAAAACCAAGTACAACACATTATATAGAATTTATTGTGGGTGGGGGTATGTTTGCTAGCATTTATGTCTGCGTTCTCTAGGGCTGCAGGAGAAAACAGGTTCCTCATAAGGAAAGTAGATACAGTTGTGCAAATGGAATATCAGTGGGAGGGAAATCTTTAAAGTTGTATATGTATGTGTGATTGATTCAGCTGTTAGCATATCTGTCTTCTTCAGAAATAGCAAAAAGGGAATTAAAAAAGGAAAGTAGTCATACATGAAGTGATGCTATAAATCTGATTACTTTAGGTAATAAGGTAAAAGCCTGAGACTGGGGCTCTGCTGAGGGCTAGAGAGAACCACATTGGGGCTCTCTCTCCTGTGAAGGCCAAGAAACATTGGTGGCCTCTTTTCATGACTGATTAAAGAACTTGTCTGTAATGAAAAGAGGCCCCACAGCTGTAGCCTGCGACATCTTTGCTCCCAAAGTGGATCAGATATAAGTACCCTCATGTAGGGTCAAGGGTACATGTAGGGTTCCTTGCCTCTTATCGGACATCAGCCTGGAGAAACGAGAACCCTGAACATTAATTTCCATTGTGTCTGACTATCCAACTGTCATTTCTGTATGATAAATAATACTGAAATAAGTATTTGTATTGTATTCAAATCACAGGACTTGAATTTGAGAGAAAAGTTTGGTACTGAATTTTGCCAAGGCAGTCCTCTGGTGACACAAAGGGTTAAGTTGCAACACTATGAAGCTATCATGGGTTCGATCCCCATGGAGCCACCCAAGTGGCACAGCAGACCTCTCCTGTCCTGCCCACTACTCCCCTCAGCAGTGTACTTCAGTCAGACTGCCTGTGCTCCCCACTCTGTCTCTGGTGAATCGAATCATTTCATTGTTCCTGCCCCTCTGGTCTGTATCCCAGTTCTGTATGCATAAATAAATAAATCTGTTTTTAAAAAGTGAATTAACCAGGGCCCTCCTCTGCTTTTAAGTGCCAACACAGTACTGTTTCTTTAAAAAAAAAATCTTGGGCCTATATAAGAAATGTAGCTTTTCTATACCCTACAATGTGAATATGTTCAGAGAACAGAGCCAATAGCATATCTGCTGTATCTGTTTTCCTCACTTCTTTCTATCACATTATTTGTTAAATAATTTTGTAGATACCTTGGGTGCTGTTTCTGTTATGTCATCTCCTTACCACCTTCCTCCATCTTTTAGAGGTTTCTTAAACTGTTGTAAAAATCCCTTTCAAGAAGTATTTCATCAGTACAGGGGTGTATAATTTGCTTTGGTTTTTAAGATTCATTTAGGCATAAAAGAACTGGGGTGAAGGCCAGAGGTGAAAGGGGTGAGAGGATTCACCAGTGACAGAGTGGGGAACAGAATAGGTGAAACTACTGAAATAGACTGCTAAGGAGAAAAGTGGGTGAGACAGGAGAGGTCTACTGCACCATGTGGGTCAGCTCCCTGCCTGGAAATAGAACTCAGGTCCCTGCTAAGGGCCTTTGTGGTAGTAGCGCTGAGATTTAACCTCTAGGACACAAGGGAGGCCTCAAGGAAATAAATTTATATGACATCTCACAGAAGAACATGAAGGTTAAATATTCAGTTAAGTCTAAGTTAAAGGAAATGTTATTTATGTCATTATGATGTTAACTCGGTTACCATGTGCAAGGGATGTTGCTTAACTTGTTGAACATTGACTTTGCACAGCCTAGAACAGTCACTATACTTAATGTGGAAACATTTGCAGTCCCTTTACAGTAAAAGCAAACAGCAGTTATCACCCTTTCATTTCTTTATTGTCTGGGAATGTCACATTCAGTTAGCAGAGAACAAGAAATGAGTTACATATTATAAAAGAAGGAGAAATTTGTTCTTTGGATATATTTGTTCCTTTCAGACATAGAAGAAAATATAAAAGGACTATAAACGTTTCTTTAAAACCCATCTAATAAGATAAAATAGATAAATCAGTTCTACCATACCTGGTATGTAGAGGGTTATTATTTTTTTTCTTTGACCTCTGTGTTCTTTGAAATGTGTTTTCAAATTTCCAAATATATGGAAACATATTTTTGTTAGTGTCATCTGGTTGAGTTACACTTTAGTAAGAACTGTGGTTTCTAATTTCATTCTTTGAAATTTTTGAGTTACTTCATATGTTCATATGTGGCAAGTTTTTTTTTTTAATACTGCATATATGTGTGATAAGAATAGTTATTTTCTTGTTGGTTGCAGATTTCCATTAAACTCCAATAAATCAAGTGTATTTTTTCCTCACTTGATTTTTGCACCCCCACCTCACCCTCCACCATCTACTAAAAGAAGAATGAGAGAGAAGAAAGTAATAAGCATACAAAGCATAAACTACCATCCCTTGAACTCCCTTCACCCTGCTCCCACCGGGGCTCCTCCACCTCTGGTGGAGTTCTGTAGTTAGTATCCACTGCTTTGTTTTTATTTTACTGTCTTTGTTCATCTGCTTGGTTTCCTTATGTTGCACATATAGGTGAAATAATCCAATATTTATATTTCTCTTTCTGACATATTTCACTCAACACCCTTGAGTTCCTTCCATTTTGCTCCATCTGGCAAACTCATCTTCTATTTATAATTGAATAATATTCCCTTGTGTATATACCATATCTTCCCATCCCCGTCATCTCTCAGTGGACATTTAGGTTGTTTCCTATTTTAACTATTATAAATAATGTTGTAACTCTTTGATAATGACTTCACATTGTTCAGATGGCTACCCAGAAGTAGAATTGCTGAATGTGGTAACTGTTTTAATTTTTTTGAGGAGGATCTATACTGCCTGATTACACAAGTTTTTATTCCCAGTAATATTGTGCAAGAGTTGCTTTTTTGACAAAGGTCTAAAGTCTCCATGGTGGAAAGAATAGACTGGAAATAACTGCTCTTTTAAAAGCAACTAAAAACAGTTGCTCATAGAATGATCCGACTCTTTGTCTATACAGTCCCAGGACTTTCTCAAAGAGTTTAAGAACTAAGGTTTGTCATACCAGAGAGAAAAGAATGGCAGGGAGCAAAAGGGACTGTGTTGAGCTGGCAACCGAATTCCCAAGCCACAATATTGTGAAATTCCTGGACGACCTTTGCTGACACATGTATGGGTGCAGATCCACACCAGGGCAATGGAAACTCTGCGCACTCAGACGTAGGGAATTTGGAAACCCACAGTTGGGATGATGGCATGGACATCAAAAACTCCCTTCCCTCTCCACTCATGGAAGAGATCAAAGAGAAGCCAGACTGAGCCAAGACTCCATGAAACAACCAACAGCACAAAGAATTTTAGAGTGAACTCAGAAATCCTTTGGGAAAGTAAACAAAGAGTGTACATAAATCCCAGCCCTGCAGAAGCAGCAGCTAAGGCAAGGTCATGGCAGCAGTTGTGTTTAATCAGCACATGTGTACCTGCTACACACAGCACTAACTTTGGGGAAAGTGCAGATTAATCCTAGAATGTGAGCCTGGTCACCTTGACCCTGTTGTTCCCACCTAGGAAGAGCCCTACCCTCAGAAGAAAGAAACAGGGAAGCAGGGAGTGAATCACCAGAGCATAGAATAGAGCTTGCTGTGGAACAAAAGAAGAGGTAGAAGTGACTGATGTCACCCCTTAAACTGAGTTCATGTATTAAAGCCGCAGAACCCCCCCCTCCTATAGCCACTCCAAACTGAGGAAAACTAAGATGGGGATAAAGAAAGCTAAGTCTCTAGTGCCCCAACAGCACTTACGCATGCACAGATAGTTATAATAAGGCAATATGCATACCTAGGAAGCAAATACCATCTCAACATAAGATAGAAAAGCAAAGTGAGGGCAGAAGTC